GCTGCCCCCTTATGTTCATTTATTTATTTATATCAGTCACTAAATACTATTTTAGTGGATGAATTTCACCGGAGGCAAGAAACCACATTTCAGTAGACCGAGGGGCTGACAAAGCCCAGGCCACAGAGAGACTGCCTCCCAAGGAAAGACTTCCTCCCGTTGGAACTCTCAGAGCAGAAAAGTAGTTCTATGTAGAGATGTAAGTGCCCAAAGGCCACAAGTAGTAATCCATCAGCTAATCATAATTCCAAAGGGTAAGTAAGACAAATGTTCCCACAGAGTATCATTAAAGTGTGAGTTTAATCTCTGCTCTGCTGTTTTTCTCTCCTCCTTATCTCTTGAGTTGATCCCTTTATCTCTTACCACCTCTATTCTTCTCTCTAAAAGCTTTCTCCTCCCTGTCCTTTGTTCCATACTTATCACTTCTGTCTTAGATTAACCTATAGATACAAAATGGAGAAAATAATTGGATTCTTTTTCATGGGGAGATCACCTTTCCATTTCATCATTCTGAGAGCAGAAATTTGTTTACCTACAGAAATGCATTACAGAACATGAGAAAAATTTTTTATAGACCAAACAGTGTTTTTGAATTGTATCAAATAGAAAATTAAGAAAAACCTAAAAGGCTTTGATGTATTTTCACATTAAAGGGTTATTTTGCAGGTAGTGAGTGTCACTAGTTCTAAATATTTCTTTTCCCTACCTCCTGGTTACCCGTGCTTGATACCAAGCTTATGGGAAGCTTTCAAAGTTGTTGCAGATGAAGTTATTCTTTCCTTAGAGTCAGGAAGGACCGCTTATATCATGAACTCTTGCCTCGGATCCACATAGTAAAACTCTGGACATGGATGAGTAGTTCTGATATCATACATTTGTTTAGCATCTTGTAGGAATTCCACATAACTTAAGTGAATAGACCCATTAATGAGCAGAGAAGGGCCAGTGGCTGAAACAGCTGCATCCTCTCTCTGCCTTTCTGATCTGTACAACAAGGACGTCCATTTTAGGGTGTTAAATAATGAGATCTTAATCTTGAATTTCTACTTAACTGGGCTCTAGTCATTTAGAGTTCTTTTCACCAGAAGTATATGTTCCTGTCCTTTCTTCGTATAATCCATGGGAGCCAAATACCAGACTGTTCAAAGTAATTGAATGGGAACGTACTTACCAAAACTGCTAGCAGGCATAACCATGAAGCAAAGTCTTACTCTAGGATCTTCCCTGACTTTTTCTTTCTAGTTATATCTGAGAAAGAGTAGAGGCCACATGTGTTTTATTACACAGTCCCTGACACAAATGGAGAAGTGAGAGGATATTAAAAATGGTGGGTAACATTTAATGAGCATATACTAAGTGCCATGTTTGCTGGGAGTGTTTTGGGTAACTTGTGTAATTCAATCCTCAATAATCTTGTTTGTATTATATTTTATACCCTTTTCACAGATGAAGAAACTAACACAGCATCTGAGTAACTTGGCCAGAATCACAAAACCAGAAAGTGACAGAAATTTGAACCCAAGGAAACTTGACTCTGAAGCCTCTCCTTTAACCACTATGCTCTCCTGCCTCCTTGAGGTAATCAAGATGGTTAATACCGGTTAAATAACCATTCTGAAGAAATCAAGACGATCTATAGGAGTTCAACAGCCTTTTACCATGAAGACTGAAGTCCCTACCACGTAATAAGATCTCAATAAATTCAGTGAATACTTCTTGAATATAGAAATGAAAAGGCTCCAAGAGTTATTTAATAGAAGAAAGGATCCGTTTGTGGTTCCCAAGGAGGCATGTCTTACCGTCTTAATCTGTTTACATCTTCAAAGGGTTTCTCCCTGAGAGGTAGAGAGGGACTCTGTTCCTGCTAGTCTCGAGTTCCTGTGCTTGCCTATACCACATTTCACCACCCTCTCCCCTGTCCTACCTTCCTGGAAATTAGAAGTCGTCTCTTATGAATAGGCCAGGGGTTTTAAGGGGTTGTTAAGTTAGCAATAAGTGCTCAACCAACTGATATTAGGGACATAAGTATGCATGTTTATGTTGGGTAGGGTTGTCAGAAGAATTTAGTGCTTACATTGTTTTCCTAGAAGTGATATAGATGGACTTTGGCTAATCTCTCCATATTCTAATCTGAATCCACTTAACCTCAGGTGAGTGTGTGTCTATATACCAGGGAGGCTGGACCTATGTCCTCAGTGGAGTATAGTGGCAGAGGTGACCAGCCATACTCCCAGGCAACATCTTCAGTCACTAGCTCTAGTTTGCACGTCCTGCTCTATATTCTAGAATTGCCTCAGATGTACAAATACTACTTTTGTGTAGAACTGATTATTGCAGTTCTTAAACAATGCAAAGGGATGGCAACTGGATGAGTTTCAACCTGTTGAGTCTGGAGGAAAACTAGCCCCACAGTAGCTTTTCTTGATTATATTTTGCTTTGGCTAATAGAACGGCAGCTGGTTGTCCATCTCTTTTCAAGCCACTTCCATTTGAAACCAGCCTCAAGGAGAGGAAACTGCTAATGCTGATTTATACATAACTTTCAGAAGTGTTTGGAAGTGGGTTGGAACAATCTCTTTATTTCAGAGTTTTCCCATGTGTCCTAATAGGTAAAGAATTCCATGTTCAAGGGAGTTTAGAATATGCTAGGTTAAAAGAGCTGAACAAGTTGTTTTTGTTTTGTTTTGTTTTTCTGTAAGATTTTCAGAGCCTTTAACATGATGATGGGAATTGTGAATCTGCAAGAAGCAGCAGGGACCCATTATCTCCCAAACTTACTTCTCTGTGGAGTCTGTGTTTGTCAGACATGTTCTGGTACCGGTTTACATAGGGCACCTTAGAAATCTGTGGTGGGTAAGGACACAGACAATGCATCCTGACTGTAAAATCCATACCTACTTTCTAGGGTTGTTGTAAACATTATGTGTGTGTGTGTGTGTATCTTACATTACTTAGTGCAGTATGTGTTAGCCACTATTATGACTATTTATTCAACTCTTTACTAATGATATAGGCCTCATCCACATGTCAATTTCCAAAGTTAAAGTTTCTTCCTATAATAAAAGACACATCTAAACTAGGGAATAATATAGAGGCTTTGAGTTTGGGGGAAAACTCAACAGAGTTTCCGCTTTAAATCATCTGTCTAGTCGGTATGGCCACAGTCATGACGAAACGAAAATGTTGACTTTGAGTAACTAAAGGTAAAAGACAAAGGGAAAAGTGAACAGTGGCAAGAATCACTCTTGGACTCCTCTAATGGAGACGAGATTGAAATAGAAAATGTCAAATACTGTGCGGTGTACAACAGTAGACACCAAACACTTTAAAATTCCAGCTTCCTGGATGTATGCTATGGAAAGAATGAAGTTGGTTGCTAATGTCTAGCTGAGGAAGAAGGTGAAGAAGAGAAAGCCATATGAAGAAGGGGCCCCGGGCAGCAAGTTAAGGTATTCACTCTTTCGCTGAAACGGTGACACCGGTAAGTGTACTTCATTCTCTAGATAAATTAAAGACGGGGGTCTGTTTTCATGTTTGCAGCAGTTCACAGTCAAACGGAGGACTCGACTGTAAACAGCAAACCATAAGCTTCAGGATGGAGGTACTGGCACAGTGTTATGGGATCTCAGAAAATGATTCCACTAACAAGGTAGGAGGTGAATCTTAGATTGGAAGCAGGTCTCAGGGTTGGGGGGGGGGTTCCTAGTAAACTGTTGGATGCTCATTCACGTAAGTGTGTATGTGTGTGTACAGTTCAGGAGGGAGGACGATCTAGAGCAAGTGATTCCGTTTGGGAGGCTGTGAGTGAGCCACACTAAAAACGGGAGGCTTGATAGCTTGTCCTTCACCAGACGGGTCCAAGATGACTATATAAAGTAAATACCATAAATCACTGTTGTCAGGGCGCACACTCCACCTCCTCCCTCCCTTCCCCACAGCCGTCCTCATTTCCACACCCCCTCAACGGTTCAGGGAGAGCTCGTGGTCTAAGTAAACGAGAGGACTTCTGACTGTAATCCTAGCACGTCACTTTGTTGAAGGCAAACACGTGGTTCAGAGAGAACTTATAAATCTCTCCTCCCAGGCAAGATCGTGATGTTATCTGCTGGCAGCAGAAGGTTCGCTCCGAGGGGAGCTCCAGGAGCTCCCGACGAGAGAGGGGGAGAGAGGGAGGGAGGGAGGCAGAGAGAGGGAAGGAGGGAGAGAGTGGGAGGGAGAGAGAAGGGAGAGAGGCAGAGAGGAGAGCGGGCGCAGCCAGGCAGAGAAGGGCAAACGGAAGAGCGGAGCCGGAGCGCAAGTGACGGCGGCCCGGGGCAGGGATGGAGAACCTAGTATAACGGTCTAGGGAGCCATCGGGAGCCAAGGAGGGGGTGCCCGGCTGCACAAGGGAGGAGAGGGGCTGCGTCGGGGTGCCGAGCGCCCACCTACCCGCAGCGAGAAAGTCCGAGCGGGAGAAACCAGGAGCGGGTGGGGGCGCAGGGGCCCCCGCGCAGCCCCTCGGGAATAACAACCTCCCCAGGCGCGCGGCGCGTCCCCGGGCCGGAGGCGGCGGCGGCGGCAGCCCCAGGTCCGCGGCCGGGTTGGCGTCTGGAGCGAGCGCAGGAGGAGGAGCGGGAGCGGGAGCCGGAGCGGGAGCGGGAGCGGGAGCGGAGCGGAGCGGGGAGGGAGGGAGGGAGGGAGGGAGGGAGGTGGAGGCTGCACGCGGCCGCGAGCGCCCGCCGGGGTGTCGGGGTGTCGGCCCCGCGCAGCCCCGGGAGCGGGACCCGCCGCGTCCCGGGCTCGCCCCCAGCGCGCGCACACGCGGGCGCGCACACCCGCTCGCACACTCGCGCACTCACACACTCACACGCGTGTGCGCCCTCCGCTCCGGGGCCGCGGCTGCTCCGGCTCCCGGCGCCGCAGTGGAAGGCAGGGCCGAGCCGCCCCGTCCTTAAATACCTGCCCTACCGCCCGGCCGGCTCGGCGGCCCCCCGCGCCGCGCTCCCCGCGCCCCGCCCGCCCGCCCGCCGCCAGCTGCCAGCCCCGGGACCTTTTCATCTCGTCCCTTTTGGCCGGAGGAGCCGAGTTCAGATCCGCCACTCCGCACCCGAAACTGACACACTGAACTCCGTTCCCTCCTCTTAAAATTCATTCCTGCCTAGTAGCCCCTCGTCTCTTTTTTCGCCCCCCTCCCCATCTCGTTGCTCCAAGAAAACTTTTTCTTGCTCCCCGAAGTTAGGGTTCTCGCTCCCCATCGCGTGTGAATATTTCCACTTTCGGAACGACCTGCATTTTCTTTTTAAAGGAATTCCAGCAAGACACCTTTTTCTCTTGGACGTTGACTCTCGACTGTTTGCAAAAGTCTCGCATTAAAAAAACAACAACAACAACCAAACAACAAAAAACAAAAAAAAAACAAAACAAAAATTTACCTGATCTCTACTTGAGAGTTGTTGGTTTCTTTTTTTTTTTTTTACTAGTTTTTTTTTTATTTTTACTTTTTTTTTTTTTTTTGGAAACTTTTTCCACCTTTAAAAAGAAAAAAAAAAAAGATGCACTACTGTGTGCTGAGCGCTTTTCTGATCCTGCATCTGGTCACGGCCGCGCTCAGCCTGTCTACCTGCAGCACGCTCGATATGGACCAGTTCATGCGCAAGAGGATCGAGGCGATCCGCGGGCAGATCCTGAGCAAGCTGAAGCTCACCAGCCCCCCGGAAGACTACCCCGAACCCGAGGAGGTCCCCCCGGAGGTGATCTCCATCTACAACAGCACCAGGGACTTGCTGCAGGAGAAGGCGAGCCGGAGGGCGGCCGCCTGCGAGCGCGAGAGGAGCGACGAGGAGTACTACGCCAAGGAGGTCTACAAGATAGACATGCCGCCCTTCTTCCCCTCGGAAAGTAAGTACCGCTTCTCGCTTCCATCCCCCGCGGCCGAGCGCCGCCCGAGGCTCCCGGGGCCGCGCTCCCCACCCCCGGACCTCCATCCCCCCTCCCTCCCGGACCCCCATCCCACCACCACCCCCCACTCCATCCCACCCACCCCCATCTCCATCCCACCTACCCCCCATCTCCATCCCACCCCCCATCTCCATCCCACCCCCCTCGACCTCCATCCCACCCCCCTCGACCTCCATCCCCCACCCCCCATCTCCATCCCACCCCCCTCGACCTCCATCCCCCCGACCCCCCCATCTCCATCCCACCCCCCGCGACCTCCATCCCACCCCCCTCCTCGCCAGCCGGGGGCCTGAGGACGTTAGGCTTGCAGTCGGCGACTCGCGCCTGGACTTTTCTCCTGGCGCCCGGGGCCCGGGGAGCGGGAGGCTCTGTCCCTCTCCGGCTGGCCCCCGAGGCCCTCTCCGGGACTCCGCACCCCGCGCCCCGCCCGCCGGGTGGCGCTCCCCGGGGCCGCGCGCAGCCGGGGCGGCCGGCGGGGCTTTTGCTCCCCTTGCTGCGGGCGGCGCACTGGCGCGCGAAGGGTTAAAGCAAAAAGTGGCTCGGAGCTAGCCTCTGCGGAAGGCGCCCCTTTCCGGGCCGACCTATCAGCAGGCTCCCCCGGCCTTCCCTATTGTCTCTAACGCCCCGAGGCCGTGTCAGCACCGCCCAGACCCAGGCGGACCCGAGACCCCTCCGGACGCCCCGCCGAGCCCCGGGCCTGCGCCCCCCGGAGGCGGAGGCGCGGCTCGTCACCAGGTCCCCTCGTCCCCTCCGGAGTTCACCTGGCGCTAGGAGGGGGACGGCCTGGTTTCTGACGGTGTCCCCCAGGGCTTTCCTTCGCGTTATTTTTTCAGGGTTGGCTCAGACCTGTCTGCTTAAGCTCCTGGTGGAGCGGATCCTTCTCCTTAAGGGGGTTCCCGTCTATCTTTCTCACCCTCGAGCCCTGGGCTCCCCGCGCTTTCTTAGGCTTCCTTGCAGCTATTTCGGTGCATTCCTAAATCTCCCAGTAGAAGACAGCCGATTTTTTTTTTTTTTCCTAAACTGGCTTCTCTAAGGGCAGCGTCCTCAAACCCAGCTGGCATACAGTAGCAGCGGGAGTGATTTATCGTGCAGTTGGGGAGGGGGGCCGGGGGGGAGTGGGGAGGGAAGAGGACAGTTAGCTGGGAATGGTTTCCAAGTTCTTAAGGGAAAAAGAAAAAGAAAAGCAAAGCAGAAGCATCATCCAGTGATACCTGAGAGGGTTAAATACCAGGAAGAGAAGAGAGAGAGAGAGTAAAAAAAAAAGCTTCAACATTTAGCGTATTCCAAATCCCAAGTCATAAACTTTTCATTGGTTGCCCATTTCTCCCCCACCCCCCTCCCTTTCCATGCCCTATATACTTGCTGGCTCCCTTCACAAAGTCTCTGTGTCTTGCCTAAATAGATAATATGGCCATCCTAGTCGTTTTATCCTAGAGGTTCTAATTGCAGGGTGCCCCCCTTTTTTCTTTCTTTCTTTCTTTCTTTCTTTCTTTCTTTCTTTCTTTCTTTCTTTCTTTCTTTCTTTCTTTTCTTCTTCTTTCTTCTTTCTTCTTTTTTTTAATATTTATTCTTAGTTTGACAAGCCCTGGTTCTGTGACTTGCCATGTCTTGTACTTGACAGTCTCCGAATGTCAGGCCCTGGATCTAGCGCCAGTCTCCCTGGCCACCTTTCTTTTTTCCTGCACCTTCTCTTCTGGTTCCAGAGCAGAGCAGATGCGGAAGGTCCTGGCAAGCAGCATGGTTTTATTATTGTAATTAGGCACAGTCCCCAACGGGGGTGACAAATACACACCGCCCCGGTTATTCCCCTCAGGAAGTAAAGCTTTCTACCTGGGGTGGAGCCTAGGAGATATTAGGAAGGCAAGTTCACTGTAATTGGTCCAGAACAACTGAGACCAAACCGAGAGTTGAGTCACTTTGCTTTCTCAAGCACGTGTATCCGTTCCACTGCTATTTGGGCAGGCGGGCAAGTTAGGTTATATAGAATCTGAACCGTGTTTACCTGCGGAAGTTGAAGTGAGTTGCCAGCACTTTTACAACACTCCGGAAGTCTGATCTCTTCCTCATCAGTACACAGGTGTGGAGAGAGCCAGTTACCCCAGGGGGTGTTGTTGCTTCCTTGATTCTTTGTTCTTTCGGGCACACCTCAGTCCAAAGAGGCGAGGTGATCCAAGCCGGGATAATGATCATCCCCAAACTGGAAAAAGTCTCAGGTTGTTGGGATTGCACAGGGTGTCGTCTAAGATCAGGATGTGGCTTCTCTTCTCCTTCCCACCTCCAGCCACCAAATAGATTAAAAGCTCTGCTAAGTGCAGTATTAAAAAAAAAAAAAGTATACTATCAGTTTTCATACAAAGAATACTGGCTTCTATGGAAGTTTAGGGGCAGAAAAGCATACTAAGGGCAGATTGGATACTCCTGTGCAAGAACTGTGGATAATTTTATAGAAAGTAGGTTAACTGATTTTCCAGCACTTTCTAGTTATACTGGAATATAGTGAGCCCTTCCAAAAAAAAGGAAGAAAAGAAGAAATCACTCCACCATATTTTTAAAGAGCAAATTGAAAGTACAGCATTGGCTTATAGACCAGCTTTCCCTCTTTAGGACTTTTCCGCCCAACTTTTAACTCGTCACTGAAGTGGCTGAGGGAGGGAGTGTGCCTGTCATTTCTTGCAGTGAATCCGGCAAGGGTCATAAGCCCCAGAGATGAAGGCATGGGAAAGATCACTGGTTCATTTTTTACCACCAACTTATTAGTGTTCGGGGAGTGACTTCAGCTCAAATATTACAAATATGCTCTAATTATACTCAATGAGCTATATATCATTACAGATCGCTGATAGCCCTTTGTGGGACATTTTATACAGTTCAGACTACATATTTTTAGTAATGTGGAGATTTAAAAGTAAAAATATAAGAGATATTGTATATGCCCTCAGGCATATTTTGTTTAAAATATTATCCTTGGCCGAGTATACTGTATAAATACAGTAAATATGAATAGAACTGGCCAGGTGCCAATCTCCTAGGATGGATTTTAGTCAAGAAGGTATTTATGGGATATAAATAATACTGTGTCAACATTTAAAGAAGGGGTCTGATTAGTTTTGAATTTATTCGTATTGATCTTTTCACATGCTGTTAGTTTAAGGCTCAAAGTGGAGTTATGCTAAGGTTTACCGATAGTTTACCCAGTGGGCATTAGTGGATGCTTCAGTCCTTTTCACAGGCCATCTGAAGTTCAAGGCACATCTATTTGAAAGACACTGCACAAATCTTGAGAGGGATTCCATTGACTAGAGTAAGAATCCAAATGATGGACAGTTAAAATCTGTAGAGGCTTGGAAAATCAAAAAAAAAGAAAGAAAGAAAGAAAGAAAGAAAGAAAGAAAGAAAGAAAGAAAGAAAGAAAGAAAGAAAGAAAGAAAGAAAGAAAGAGACAGAAAAGTTTCATTTTCTATCTTTCCTCTCACTTTTTTCACTAAAAGAAACCAGGCAGTGTCAGGGTTCTAACAGTTGGTGATCTTGCACCCCCACCCCCACCTCCCAGGGAACCTGTGGCAATGTCTGGAGAGGGTTTTGACTGTCGTGACTAGGGTGGTAGGGAAGGGGGTGCTACTGGCATTTAGTGGGTAGAGGCCACAAATTGTTGCTAACCATCCTAGAATGTACAGGATGGGTTCCCTCCACCCACCACCACCACCACCACCATGCACATCAAAGAGTTGTCCAGCCCCAGATGTCGATAAGGTGCATGTTGAGAAGCCCTGATCACCCTGCTATTTATGTCGGGTTACTGAATTTTGCTCAGAGTACCATCTTAAAAGCAATACCCTAAAAATAAAAATATCTGTATGATCAAAAGATTAAAATGAATAGAAAGATAATCAGAAAGTTACCTTCATTAGATGGGAGTATGAATTGAACCATTTTGTGGGGTGTATACTTTTTTATTATGATCTTAAAGCACCTAAATTGGAAACCTCAAAACTTCCCATTCATTTAGCCTAAATTATGATGTTGCCCCACCCATCGGTAACTTCAGTCCGCAGCACTTGTGATGTTAGTCAGAACAGAGAAAAAAAAAAAAAAAGTGAGGAATTGTCTCGGATTTTCCTTGCAAGGAAACTAAACAGTACATGGTAATGAGGATTGGAATCTCCAACCGAGACAACCGAAGAAAGTAAATAATTGTGTTGGTTTATTCTATCATATTGAATTAGATAAACCAAAATATACAGCCTGAGACATCACAACGAGGTTCCCTGTGTAAGTGTTTCACACGAATGTTAAACATTTAATAGCAAACAGTCTCCTTTTCTATTTCCCCTGTCATTTTCCAAGTGAAATCGTGGAATGTAGAATGAATACGGATAGCACTATGGTTTTGGGGAATTCAACTTAAGATTCTGGTCGTGGACATGTCCTTCTGTATACAGATTGCCGGACTATTGGCCAGTTGCCCAATGAAGGAAAATATTAGTAATTGCTGGAACGTAGTGGTATTTTTGCTTTATATCCAGGGATTTTATTTTTATTTTTTTTTAAAGATACTCTGTGAGGACATGTGAGAAAGAGAGAAAGGATCAAAGACAATCGGATTTGGCCCCTTGGCTTGCACGGTGATTGAGTTATGAATACACAGCAGACCAGACTTCAGTTCCTGAATTTTTATTGTATCATCTCTTGTCCTAACTCCAGTGTCCTAACTGTGGTTCCAGTAAACTTAGGTCACATTCTTCTTTTAGGATTTCCTCTCCTCTCCTTCTCTTACTTCTCAAAGACTAGGAGGAGGATAGTGTTTGTAACTGGAGGGGTTGGGCCGTCTTTGGTCCCAAGCCAGCCCCGCTCGCTGCAAGCCCGTCTTGCGGAGTCTGGGTGCCCTGGAGGCTGACCTTCGCGAGGCCGAGGGGCAGGTGGGCACCCCGGGGACCTGGCCC